ATAGATAGATAGATAGATAGATAGATAGATAGATAGATAGATAGATAGATAGATAAATAAAGAGAGACAGAGAGACAGGGAGACAGAGAGACAGAAAGACAGAGAGACAGAGAGACAGACAGACGGACGGACGGACGGACGGACGGACAGACAGACAAACAGACAAGACAGACAGACAGGGAAACGGTTCCTTCTGAAAATCTCCATAACAGAAATCCTTACTCCAAACAAACAATATTGTCGCAAAGATGCCAAACATCCAGTTCAGACAAATTGGTACAAGATTATATACCTCGATTTATCATTTCAATTTATATCACTGTTTAAAAAAGGGTTTAGTTTTCCACCGCTCAGCCTTTATTTTTTTATACACTCTGTCACGCAACTTGAAAAGTAATTTGAGTTTGTCCCCCGGAGCGATTGAGTTTGACACCCCTGGTATTAACTTTTTCTAGTGGGGGATTAATGCCATCTATCTTATCCAGATCATAACAAGAAGTATGTCTACAAGACAACAGACACCTAGCGCACGAGAAAAGAAAGACAAATATACCGAAACGACAGAGGGGACGAAAAGACAGATCTTGCTTGTACCGACATCCCCCTTCTACCCGAAATATACAATGAAAGACAATTAATAACACATAGAAAACAATCATATTAAGTTTAATTTCTAGCAAAACGTTTTACGGCACTTAAAACACGATTGAGTCATTTCATAATTGCTGAAAAATAGAGGTAGTTCTTGAGGGTAATACACAAAGTAAAAAAGTGGAGAGAGAGACGGCAGACGTTTATTAGGAAAGAAGGCCCAAACACACCAAAACGTACGCCAATCACCCACCAAACATGCTTAAAAAAAAAAGAAAAAAAAAGGGGGAGGGGGCGAGTAATTTCAGTTTAGTATGAACACTTCAAGACCGGATAATCTTGCCCCCCCCCCAAAAAAAAAAAAAACCCAACAACAACAAAACAAACAAAAACGTTCAAGAAAAGACGTAAGAAGAAAGGAAAGAAAGCAGAGTCAATACTCATCAAAAGAAAATACAACGCAAGAGCATTGTGACAAACGACATGACTATATAAATTACTTTTCCTATTTTTCCCCCTGTTACGGAAGACATGTAAGCAATAACGACGTCACAGTTACATGAAGCGTATCTCGCCCGATTTGTTTGTTTGTTTGTTTGTTTGTTTTTTTACTTTGCAGGATAGTTTGCAGGAACACATACAATACATACAGAGGGAAACACAAAGACCGCCATGCATGGTCTTGCCTTCTTCTCTCTAACCAAACACGAAGAGAGACCAAGCATGATCACCCAACTGTGGGGACAAAATGACGGAGGAGATAAAAAGGGACCTGTCTTATCTCTAAGTGGTATTACACGTTCAGCTGTCGTCAAAGATTCGTTTTAGGCGGACCCATGCGAGTAGCATGAAAACAGCAGATAAGGACAAGAGAAATACGGAAGAGAAATAAGCAGGTCAGACTACGCCAGACTGCAAACTGATCGATCTCCCGGTCGATCAACTGTAGAACAAAACGAGGGGAATGCACTGACATTTTAGTCCCATCACAAAGTTGATCATAAAGATCTTCCGTCCCATTGACAAAGTTTAGAACATTTAGTTTAGTTTTAATAAGTGTTATGGCACAATAAGGTCATATAAGTGCCGAAGATTAAAGGTGTTAAAGGAGAGTAACAAACACAAAAAGGAGGAGGAGGAGGAGAGATCAGGACGATAGATGTTTAGTAGGAAAGAAAAAGCAAGCCACACCAGCGCACGCGCCAACCGCCCGCAAGAACATTAAAGGTGATGCCATCCTACTAAGAGCGGTAATTCTGGTGCACTGGACCAGTGTTATGTCGCCGGAGCACCCGCCATCGTCTCCCTCGCCTAAAGGCCAGGTGAAAGTTGACAACTGATAACAAGAGAACTGATATTGATGCAGTTCACGGCAAACCATAGCGACAACGGAAAAGTGCCTGTTTAAGAAAAAATAACCAGACTCATGCGGCATGTTTTACATCCCCGTCGACACAATTTAGATTCAATTAGATGGAACGTGCGTTTAAAAACCCTCAGCGACACAATTTTGATAGCCCACGGGGTTTTGAGTCAACTATAATTTCTTATTTAACGTTTGCAAATAATGATGTCCCACCTTTGTCCAGATTACCGCCCCCACCCCCCTTTTTTTCTCCCCTTGTCCTGCTCTGCTTGTAAGTGACAACCCTGACAGAATGAAAAGCAAAATTACACTAGAAAGACGGAAATACTGGATTAAATATATTTCCCGATGTGAAAATCGAACTTGCGTTTTCTGCGTGCAAAGACAAAGCCCAACCATTACACCAAAGACGCCGGTGGGGAACAAAGACCACGACAACACAAACGATGAACAGAAATGAACGATACCATGCCAAAGCATCATCAAATCAGCGGGCTGATAAAACAAGAGTATACTATGGCTTAAAAAAGGGTGGAGGGTGGGTGAGACGTATACTTAGCTTATTTGCAAACGCGAAATAAGGAATTTTAGTTGACACGAGATATCTTCGATATTGACATTTGGGTCGGGTAAAGAAAATGACATCGGCGCAATTATTCCAGTATTCGTGAGGGGGG